GCTTACCTCTCTGTCTGCGTCCTCAACCAGCAGTGTGACAATGCCACCTCCCACTTTTCACTTTGTCTGACGACGGGTTGGTGCAACCAGCTCGAAAATTTACGAGTAAAACTCTATTTCCGACGGACTTTCTCCTTTCATCATATCACCTCGGAATGCATACCACTTCAGTTATTCAACATATATATATATATATTGAAATCAAAACGTTCTTTGGGAAAGGGAGAAAACTTTATTGAGTAAATTTTCGACGTCGGTTCCCCGTGTCGTCGTCAGACTAGAGTAAATGTGCTGAAAACAATTAAAATTTCAAACGTGCTACAAAATCAATACTCATTTGGTGCCTCAGCTAGTAAGCTGCCGTCGTATGTGTCAGTCCGTATTGATCGGCTTTCGTCTCTTCCACTTTTCTCTGAGATTTTTGTACGTGGCATCTAACTCGATATGCCTGTTGATGCATGACTCATCGGAGTGCATGGCTTCAAGAAACTCTCGGCCTTTTTTAGATGGGCAAACTCCGACGATGCGAGTTTTGTCCCATGCGAAATTGTGCCCAGTATCAAGAGAGTGCATGGCCATTTGAGACAAGTGGTCTCGCCTCTTAACTGCAAGTTGATGTTCGTGGATGCGTGTAGAGGCACATTTTCCCGTTTGGCCACAATATACGGCATCAGAGGCTTCGCATGGGATCTTATAGACGACTTCTTTTTTATTGAAATTTTAATTGTTTTCAGCACATTTACTCTAGTCTGACGACGACACGGGGAACCGACGTCGAAAATTTACTCAATAAAGTTTTCTCCCTTTCCCAAAGAACGTTTTGATTTCAATTTATATTTCTTGGGATGCCTGCGTTCCAATTCATATATATATATATATAATGTTAGGGGGCGCTCACCGATCGTTCATACGGAACTCACTCGTTCCGTTGTGCCTTAGGGACTCTCTCTCGAGCCCAACCAGCAGCCGCACAGCGGCGCATGATATATAGGCAGAATAGTATTACCGACAAAGACAAGGGAGACTGGAATGGCCATTTCTGGCTTATTAGCCGTCGTCAGCCAGCCATACCCAAGCCCGAAGTGTGGAACACCCGAGCCTCGAAGGCACAACGGAACGAGTGAGTTCCGTATGAACGATCGGTGAGCGCCCCCTAACATTGTATATTCCTGATCGAAAACCGACAAGGCAACGGGCTCGTGGCCCGGTGAATAGAGGCGTTGACTTCTAAACCAACAGGTCGCGAGTTCGAGGCTCGGGTGTTCCACACTTCGGGCTTGGGTATGGCTGGCTGACGACGGCTAATAAGCCAGAAATGGCCATTCCAGTCTCCCTTGTCTTTGTCGGTAATACTATTCTGCCTATATATCATGCG